GTTATCTGAGTAATTATTTCTGATTTCATTTTTCCCAGATCCTCTTTTGTTGCCAGTTCAGAGAGTCCAGGTGGTTGAGTAACAGATTGTTCCATCTCATTTCCCTTTGGGGTTGCTGTGGGTGATCTGGAAGTCTGTTTTTGAGGCTTATTTACATGTCTTCTCATTTCCACAGTGGGGAGGGGTGCTTCTGGCACCTGCGCAGCTCACTTTCACTGCCCTAGGAGTGTAGAATGGTGGTGGGGGAGCCTCCTTCCGGGCGCTGGGACTGGCTCACCTTCTCTGCCCTAGGAGCATGCAATGAGGGTGGGGAAGCCTGCTTCTGGATGCTGGGACTGGCTCACCTTCTCTGCCATTTACAACAGTCTTGATTCCTCTTAAATTTTCATTCATCCTAGTTGTATGATATTAATTATACAATTTTTTCCTCTGTATGATGTAAAACTCTGATAGGATCTGTTTCTCACAAGTCCTCACGTTAACAATTCAAATGAAATGGTTGCCCAATGCTATATTAATGACCTTATTTTTAGGATGTTATGGTTTGTGTCTAGATATGCCCTCAAAGCCTCATGCAGTCATAGGTGGGGCTTTTCAGAGGTGGCTGGATCTAGAGTGTGTGATGCTGGGATCAAGTATGTGATGCTAGAATTAAGGGTGTGAGTGCTCCAAGGGTGGGTAGCCTGGATAAGATATAAGGAACAGAAAGAGTGTTGTTGCTTGATGACTTCTTGCTTGCCTGCTCTGCCATGCCACCTTGCCTTGGAGCCAGCTAACTATTGACTGAAACCTCTACAAACCGTGAGCCAAATAAACCTTTCCTCCTTTAACTTTAGGTGTCGGGTATTTTGTCCTAGCAAGAAGAGAAAAGTAACTAAGACAGACGTCAATTCCTTGTAAAATTTCCACCTGAACCTCATTCCAGATAGCTGAAGCATATTTATAAATCATTTCTAGATAAGTGAAGTGGTTTTTAAAAAAAGTGTATTGTGTGGATTAAGTCAAAACTATTCTGGAGAAAGTATTTTCATTAAAAAAAAATTGCAAAGAACTTACCACAGACATCTGAGGGTCTGGAACTTTCACTAATTCAAAGCTTGTTAAAATTGGAGATGACTCGTCACCATCCTGGATTATAATGCAGTTAAAAGCAAAAAAAAAAAACACTTAAACTGAATGATATGAAACAACACAATATTATACACTTTAAAATACGTTAAGTCTATTTAATAAATATCCCTCCTTTTAACAAATTCTTATCCTCTATTATAGAATATATGTTAATTTTTTACATCTTTTGATACTGATAAAAGATTTAAGATCTAACAAAATTTGCATTATAAGAGATGTGAGAGGGGGCCTAGAAATCAAATATTTTTACTTTTAGTTCTCTTTTCTTTGTTACAAAGGCTGTTTTTACAACAGCATATATTTTTTAAAGTTCTAATGTTCAAACTTAGAACAAGAAACCACAGAGCATAATTAAAATACATGCAAAGGGATTGTGTGTAATTTGCAAAAACTATGCGAACTTTGGTGTTATGGTTTGTGTCTAGATGTCTCCCCAAAGCCTCATGCAGTCATAGGTGGGACTTTTTCAGAGGTGGCTGGATCTAGAGTATGTGATTGATTCATGGTACAATACTAGGCTCAAGGGCACTGGGATTAAGGGTGTGAGTGTTACTTGCCCTAAGTAGTCTGGATAAAGGGGGAGGAAAGATGCTATTAAGGTCCCTTCTTGCTTTCCTACCTGTGTCTGCCATGAACTGCTGCCCCTCTGCCATGTACCACCCTGCCTTGCAGCCAGCCAATTATGAACTGAAGCCTCTACAAACTATGAACTAAATAAAACTTTCCTCCTTTAACTTCGGTTGTCGGGTATTTTGTCTCAGCCACGAGAAAAGTAACTAATCCAGTAACTTTTCAAAGTATTAAAACTGAGATGCTGGGATTCTATCAGTGGTGCCACAGTGTCTCCGGGGAGTTCAGCGTTTGGAAAGCATCATATCAGGGGCTTCCTCCTGCTGCCCTCAACACGTCTGTCCCAAGCTCACTCATGAAGCAACCGCCCATTCAGTTCAACGAGATTGCAATGAAGAAAGTGAAGGTAAAAGATTATGTGCCTAGAAAGAGGCCAGACTATGCTCCTATGGAGTCATCAAATGAGGAAGATTAAGATTTCAACTCATTAAGAAAGCCAAAGGACAGGAAGTACAGCACGAGGAGCAGGAACAGGATTCGTCTAGTAACCCCCGCTGCGGCGCTTACAGAACCGATTAGTGAAGATGTAGAAGAGACATCAGCTGGACACAGGAAAACAGTGGAACCTGAAGTGGTGGGAGAAAGTGACTCAAATAAAAGGAGATGCTTGGCGCATGGAAGGAGAAGACAGCAGCAAAGGAAGAGACTGATGATCAGGAAATGGAGCGGCGCTGTGGCACGACACGTCCTGAGCACAGGTGAGAAAAAGTGAGGCAACGGAAGTCGTGGAGGTGGAGGGTGAGGGACTTCCGGGGAAGAGCCAGAATCCAAGTCTGAGTATGAAGAGTGCATAGACAGTGAGGACGAGACGGAGCCTCGCCTTCAGCCAGTCTTCATTCGGAAGAAGGCCCAAGTGGCCATTCAAGAATGTGAGGCTGAAGCACTGAAGCAGAAGGAGCTAGAGCAGGAAGCCAGAGGCAGACGCACGGCTGAGCAGAGGCACAAGTACACACAAGACTGCAGAAGAAGAGACCAAAAATGAGCTGGAGGAGAACAAGTGGTTGCTGGCTCCGCTGGATGCTCTCAATACTGACAATGAAAATGAAGAGTATGAAGCGTGGAAGGTTGGAGAGCTAAAAAGAAGCAAGAGGGCCAGAGAAGACAGAGAAGTGCTTGAAAAGGAGAAAGCAGAAATTGAACGCATGAGAAACCTTACTGAGGAACAGAGAAGAGCTGGGCTTTGAGCAGATGGCAAAGTCATCACTAACAAAGCCGTTAAGGGCAGGGCCGGAGATTTAGCTCAGTGGTGCCACTGCCTGCCTCACAAGTGCAAGGTCCCAAGTTCAATCCCCAGTACCAAAAAAAATAAAAAATAAAAAAACAAGCTGTTAAGGGCAAATAAAGTTTTTACAGTGCCTTCTTCACGAATGAGGATGAAGTACACAAGACAGATTTCAGTGCACCTACCCTGGAGGATCATTTCAACAAAACTATTCTTCCTAAAGTCATGCAGGTCAAGAAATCTGGACATTCTGGTCTACCAAATACATCCACCTTGTGGACCAAGATACTACCTCTTTCCACTCAGCATGGGGCCAATAGAGTGCACAGAATATAAACTTCTTTAAACAAAAGGCAGCAGGGGTACAAGGTGTATTTGAGCAGACATCTGTCAAGAAGCAGAAAACTACCTAAGATTCAGCCACTTCTTCCAACTGTGGGATACAAGGGAGAGTCTCAGCTTCTGGTCCTTGATAGTTTTCTTTTTCCATTATGTACATGGTCCCTGTTTCCAGCTGGCTGGACTTACTGACATACTTGTGTTCCTGGCTGACTGTTTTTGAAGGTGATTTTGATTTGGACTCATACTGAGAAATTTGCCAAAAACAAAAAAGCACTATCCAGGTAGAGTTAGAAGCTTCCCAGTTAAAACCATTTCTGAGAAATCCTAGATTTCTCCATTATGGCTTCCCATATTTACTTGGAACTGTTGAGTTTCTTTTTTCCAGCCTCTTAGCTTGAGTCAGAAATGTGGGCATGTAAGCGGACAATGTGTTACTTCTGTCTTAGGGTTAGGAGTATGCCAGGAAACCTAAGCTATTTGAAACCTGTTTTGTCTCCAGCCATACTACCCTGAACGCTCCTGATCTCATCTGAAGCCAACTTTTCTAAATAAACACATTTTTGATCTACTTATGTGTCAAGGAATAAAAGAATTACACACCAAACAATAAAATAAAATAAAACATTCATTCAAAGGAACAGAATTTTAAGTGGGGGGGTTAAATGTTCCTCAAATATATACAAAAGGTAGAAATACACCAATATCACTTCTCAGATGTACAATGCAATGTAAACTTGAGTAACAAGAATAAATCAATTCTTAAGAAATATAACTGTCTTATATTTTTGGTATTATCATTTTTGAAGAATGCTGGCTTTTATTTTTATCCAATTCAGACAAGAAAGGTAATTCAGTATAATAAATGTCACTGCCAAATACACTGGAAAAGGCTAAACTAATTACGGTCAAAATTCATTTCCTCACAATTGTATACCTATCAATTTCCAAATGCTGGTATGTTTTCAATTTTACATAAGTGCCCAAAATCAGGAGAGACTGAAAAGGGGGAAGTATTGTGAGTTTATGTGAGTTCAGTAATTGAGTTCTACAGAAAACCACAAATTCCCATAGCTGTTGTTTAACCTGCTTGTTCTCAGTCACAACATCAGAAAGCACATTTATCAGCCCAACTGTGACAAGTAATCTTCACTAAAGCTATCTGTCACAAAAGACAGGTGACAAGAAAGTCTATTTCCATTAGATTCAATACACTGGCCCAGCAATCTTTACACTAAGTGGAAATATGACAGGGTGAGTAGCAGGCATTAATTTATGAGCAATTTTCTGGAAGCAGTAGAAAGTAGTCAAGAACCTTTTCAAAAATACTTGAAATTCTTCTAATTTCTCTTCTGTTATTATTTCATCTATTATCAAAGCAGTCTTTCAAAGGATTCTTCACATCTCCAATGTACAAAAGTACCACTTCTATTAGTATGTTTTTGCAATATAAGCTCCCTATGAACAGCAAAATTGCTTTTTAATAAAATTTTACATAACATAAAATGTAAGCTATGATTTTATTGAAAGGTATTAGCAACAAAAAAATTATGCTCACATTTTCCTTTCTTTTTGATAGTTTTCCTAATAAATTACTAAACATTGTTAAACAGTCTATCTTCTTATCTTTTTTTTAATCAGGGAGGATTACATATGAAAAGCTGAAACAATTTAACTTTTCCTATTCTTTCACTAAAAAGAAAAGGATACAAGCTAAAGGAAAAAATATGTATTTTAACTTGAATATACTACAAAATTATTCATAACTATTTAAACCTTATGCTTTCATGTAGCCATCTATGGTTACAAAGAATATATGTTAAAAATCACTTATGCCAGCTTTAACAAATGACACCCAAAGTGTAAGTGTAATTCAAAGTTCTGCTTCTACTGAACAAATGCACTGTATACAAACTTGGTTATATGCCAGAATAAATATTAATCTATTATGCAATATATCAAAAGTCTGTTCACTTGTATACTATTTCCAACATAATAAGAGATATTTGGCTTATGTGGTTTTGATATACATACAATTAAGTCTGTATTATTTAAATAAAGGCTCTTCAAGGCAGGTAGCTTTAAAGAAGCTACCTACCAAACACAGAATTATTTTCTTTTCCCTAATAAGCAGATCACATCAAATTCATAACTATGCATTTGTTATTGAATCAATCTTATGGCAACATAAATTTCTTACTTTTGCATGTGTTAACATAAGTAAATGTTCTTAATCAAGTCTTTCATATGCATACTTATTTAGTGCCACATATAGAATTCAAACATATTATATATGTATTCAAATAAGAAACATGCCCTTAACTTTCAATGGGAACTTACCACTTCAAAACTATGATTTCCTATTATTTTTCAAATGAATAATAATTATAATAAAGCTGTTAGTATGTTACTCACCAATCTACATAATAATTTAAAAGTTTTAATCACTTTCATACTTATTAAATTTTGTAACCCAAAACTGCATTACATGATCAGCTTTTGTAATCTTGTTATAGCCATAAGATTTGATTTGTGCACACATAAACAGCTGCTGCTGACAGCTGTCTGCTGCTATCCTACAACCAAATAATTCATCTCAGCAGGAATGACAGTAATTTTTTAAATGTTTCCCCTCCCTTCTACTTTAGAGACCATAAACAGTTCCAAGGAAAATACCTTTTCATAGTAAACAATACCATACTCTTTATCATCACACTTGACGCATCGAAATTCAACCATCAAGTACATGAAATTAGAACTACGTTTTTCACTCTAAAAAGAAAAATAAAAAATGATCATTTTCAACATTTTCTTAAAGGATCAGTATACACTGTTTTTCCCAATTCAGTAATACATATATCCATGAAGCACAACCTGTAACACATTTTTTATTCTATACCTGTACTGTTTTATAAAGTACTATTTTATTATATATAGATGCCAGTACTATTTTATTCAGCAGTATCTGTCAGAATTCCATAGGAAAGCTTACTGAAATTTTTGGTTTACTCAGAAGTTTGGATTTTATGATATAAAATCTTTAAAGTATTTCATACACATCTTCATGAAAAGATACTTTATTTAAAAAATTAAAGCTGATGTTTTGTACTTAACTTTAAGTAAAGAAGTGTTCATCCCTTAATATATGACTAAAGTCAAACCAAGTGTAAGATAACATCAAATACCTTTTTAAAAATTATGAAACTAAAGACAAGAAGCTCGTTAAACAAAACTTCTACAAGTATTTCACAATTTACAAATGGTCTGAAGATAGCTAGTCATTTGTAAATTTTTATCAATACTTTAGGTATACTGGGGACAGTTACTTCTTCCTTCAGCATAGAAAGAGATTTATTCTTTATATAAATGTGTGTCCTTTAAAAAGAAAAAAGCAAATACTAAGGTAATGGATGATGAAGTGAAAAATGCAATGATGTCTATAGGAATGATCAGTCTTTTCCAAAACAGCTTGAAATCTAATGAATAAAATCATAAAGGTCAAAGAGGTTATTTCGATTGTTCGGCTTTGTAAAGCGTATTACAGTGTATGGCAGCAGCAGTAATGACTGCTTGTCTTTTAGAGAGAGTGGATGGGGAGGGAGAGAAGAGTTGGGCAAAGTGTTGTCCCCAACGCAACACCTTCTGCACTCAGAGGTACTGAAGTGGAAGCACAGAAAAACAGCTACATAGTGTGTTTAAATTTTTTTCAAAAATGTGACTACTATGCAAATTGAAAAAGCTTTTCTGTTTTTGAGAACATATTATAAATAAATATACAAAAGATATGTAATGTACTGAACTATACATATAAATACCACTAAATTCATTTTGAAAAAAAATGGCTCACTGTAAAATTAAAAATTTCTCTTTCTACTTGCTGAGAACTATTCAGAGAATATAAATTAAATCATTTATGCACTACAGTGGTCATTATAAGCTACACATATTCTCTACTAATTTGATTGATATAATTTTTATTTTTAGCATCTAGACCCAGATTGTTAGGCCAAACATCTGGTGTTTTAGAGCAAATATATTGAAAAGAATACTTTTTAAATAACTTTTGGAGAGACTCACTGAAGTCATCTTTTAACTAGACATAAAACTGGCCCAATAAATTAGAAAAAAAAGAAAAAATAAATCATGTAACTTTATCAAAGGTACAGTAGTGCACAGTACATGAAATAAACAGTATATTAACTGGAGACAAGACTTCTCAAGAAGATATGTGATAACTGAAGAGGCAGCAGTCTGCTGATGAGAAACTTAGCCAACACTGACTTGAACTCAAACATGCATGGTCATAATAGAGAAAACGGGCAAGTGAGGCATAGTGCCCTCACGAGCTTTCCCTATATGACATTTGATACATGTAAGACAGAGATTATATACTTCACAATTCAGTGTTAGAATATAAGGCATATATTCCAAGTCTTCCACTTGTTGGCATAAAATTCACATATGAACAACATAATCCATTTATGAAACTCTCAGATATTGTTGATTTAGAATATCTGGAAAGAAGAGAGGAACCAACTCACCTCATTTATCATTTCTATTTCTCTAAACGTCAGTCTGTCCAGCCAATCTACCTTTACCATGTGTCCTTGTCGATGAGCTTTGGTGAGCTGCAGAAAAATATAAAGGAAAAAAATCTTAACATAGAAGGAAAATTAAGAGTGATATAGGTTAAGAATCTCTAATCTGAAAATCCAAAATCTGTAATGCCCCCAAATTCAAAGCTTTTTAAAGGCCACATAACATCACTTGTGGAAAACTCCACATCTAACCTCATAGTTGAAACAAGTTCATTAAAAATAACATGTAAAACTACCAACATCCCACATATATAAGATATATATATAAAATAAATTTCATGCTTTTAGTTGGGCCCCAATAACAAGATATCTCATTATGTATACACAGATATCCAAAATCTGAAAAAAATTCAAAATCCAAAATCCAAAATCCTTCTGGATTTAGGTATCTCAGAAAAAGGATATTCAATCTATAAAAACTAATTTCACATATGAAATCCTCTTAGACAAAACAACTACCTGGGTAAGAGACCTGATAAAAAACAGTACCCTTTTTTAAAGAAAAATAATTTTAAAAATTTTTAAAAAGGTCTACAGTCTTACCAATTTTTCATATGCCAACACATGTCAAAGTCTTTCCTGAAAATATCTCCATGTTCTATACTTATATTTTGAATAATACAAGAAGAGGAATTATAGTTTTTCTTCCCATTTTTAATCCAATGAGTATTATGAAAAATGAGTTACAGAAAATAAGGTACTTCCCTGAGACCCATAAAGTAATACTCTAAGGTTTAAGCACATACATATGCATATATGCTTTCATTTTAGGAAAAAAAATGACAAAAGATTTAAAGTTCTAAACCTGCTGTTGGTATAGTTCTCTGAGGTCCTTTATATACTAATTTACCCTTAGTTTCATAAATTACATAATGGATCAACTCTTCAACTCCATAGAGAATTCAAGACAAGTTCTCTCCAAGGTCCTCAAATTATAATACTGTATATTTTTAAACACCAGTTTTACTAATGTGTCAAGACTTTCTTTCTAAACAAATGTATTTATAGCATGAAGCAAAACTGAACGTCAAAGTTTTACATAGTAGCTTATCTGTATCTTATCTTCTTTATTGTTCATGTCATTACAGTACATATATCTATGATCAAACACTGCCATCAATAATTTTTGTTAAAGAAATACAAATCTTCATCATCAATATTCTTTATCTCCCTTTATTGTTATTACAACAATGAAGTTACACTATTTCAGAAATGAAAACAGTATCTTCCTACAAAAAGGTTGAGGTTCACTGTGATATAAAATAATAGCAACTCAGCTTTCTTCTGAGTAATAAACTCCTATCTAAGGTAATCTCTAAATAAAAATGGATAGAAAGATAACAATGATTACTTGGCATAATTACTTTTCATAAAGGAGAAACTGTCTTTTGTGGTCTATGAGAGCAGTGTGCTAGCAACATAAAAGACCAGAAAATAGTTACAAGGAAACCAAAAGAAGATCAGGCAAAGTGACCTAAAAAAGAGTGCTAGGCTGGGAGCCAGAGGCCTGAGTTCCAATCCTAACACTCAAACTCTATCATTTTTGAACCAGCATCAATAAAATTAAAGTATCTTCTATTCCTATTCTCAAAATTCAAGTAAGATAATGGATGTAGAACATGACAAGTAGTTTATTATTCCATCTGGTCATTGAAAGCTTACATTCTCACTTTGCAACATGTTCCAAGGTGGTTTTCAAGACAAATAAAAATATAAAAGCTCAAATTACATTCTTTGCTTACACAGAGCCACAACAGAAGCCAGTAAAATGAGTTTATATAATTTCTACAGGAAGAAAAGAATTCATATGCCAAATTCTTGGCCCACTTTACAACCACAGTATTAAGCAGATAGTTTTGACCCCACTTTGCATCAGCTACCACTAGGAAGTAGCAATGCAAAGACTTAATCCCCATATTTTCCATGTTCCTGAGCCCATTTTCCTCTAACCATTCTTTGAAATCTGGTGTATTCTCTACTGATGTACTACTGCTAAGAGTTAAGCTTGGGCAGGGGATTTAGCTCAGTGGTTCCGGTGCCTGCCTTGCAAGCTCAAGGTCCCAAGTTCGATCCCCGGTACCAAAATAAAAAAAAAAAGTTAAACTTGACTAATTTCTGTCATTTATTGAACATTCCATATTTATGATATAATAGTTGATCCTCCACTAATTTACTAGGAGTAAAGAGCTAGCAATAGTAAATTAAGTTTAAATGCTGGAGAATGCAGTGGGGTTTTTTCCTCCATTACTAAATTATCCAGACAAATCAGAAAGTTCCAAAGTCATTTGTACTGGCCCCAGAATTTCTACTTGCTGCTAACACATATTATTTTCTACACAGCATATGCCTAGCCTTTTCCTATATGAACACCAGCTATCACTCTTCTCAATCTTTTGAAGGGTTATCAAAGAATATATCAGCAGTATGGCAGTATTAAAGTTGGTAAAGCCACTATGGAGCACATGCAAGTTTAAATTATCCTATAGACATGCACATGTATATAAAATTATTTGTAATACAGAGAAAATAGACATAAAAGAATCCAAAGAGCAATCAACAGTGGGAACTGTTAAGTAAACTATATGGTACACACATTATAAAATGCTATGATCTAAATGAGGGAAATCTATATGCCTCCATAGGGAAATGTAATTGTTGAAGGTAAGAAGAACATCTACAAAATTAGGAGTACCACTTCTGCTGCAATGATTGTTTGCAGTCTCCTGCACCAGATTTGAGATTAGGAGCAGAAATTCTAACTATTTCTGTTTAAATTAGTGTTTTTAAATTTCCGCCGAACTGAGCAACTACCATTCAAAATATCTTCTAAAAAAGCTGTCTGCTAGCCACTTGTCCTATTTACCTATTACTACCTAACAAACCATCCCAAAGTTGATGGGTTACAACAACATTCAATTTATTTTTTCTCATGGTTTCTTGAGATGTCACCATTTAATTGCAAGAAACAGGTGGATAGAGTTTGGAAATGGCAAAGCTGGCACTTACCTGGACCTCAGATAATAGGGAAAGTCTAAAATTACTTATGGCAACTGCTAAATGATCTGCTATTCTAATCAGCCCTTAAACCAGTCACTTTATCTCTTGCTGATGTTGATAACAATGTAAATAGACTTCGGTGGTTTTCAACCTGTCCAAAACAGCTGTTTCACATCCCTAATTGTGGAACTTTTACAGATATCCACAACCAAACATAGACTTTAAACACAAGAGTGACGGCCTAGCAATCACTGGTTAACACCTAGCACCCCTGTTCCCCCTCCAAAAAAAGACCATATAGGTAAGAGTACTGAAATATTATTTTATTACTAGTATGAGAATTTATATTTCACTTGGATCTGTAATGTCAGTAACCTACATCTTTACAAAGGAAAAAAATGTGCATTTTGTTAAACAGCAGGGAAAAAGCAGTATAATCTGCTTCAAATTGCTTATGAAGAAATAATCCTCACTAGGGTGTTCTGTCTACGAAGGAGATAGGTCAAGAAATCAGCAAAAGTGTCATTCACTCTTTGTAAGCAATACAGGTTTCTAAAGAATTCACACAACGCCTTACAGAGCTCAGAAGAGAAGCCCATTGTCACAAAGTAGTCTCATAACTATTGAGCCCTAACTTCTCCAGAATTAAACAGCAAGGGGTTGAAAAAGCTATTTCAATAAAAGAATCCCCCAAGAATTAAATAACAACATAACCAGGAAACTTTTGGAGTACTAATCATGTATTACCAGATTTGATAGAAAGAGAAACACATGCTTTAAGAAGATATCTCATATCAATAGGTGTTTAATAAAAGTATCAAAGACAGCTAAAAAGTGGGTCAACGTGCTGTGTACTGTACCTAGACTAGAACAGCAGGGAAAAGGAATGCCAAGGTAATGATCCAAAGGAGCAGACAGACTTCTTTTACCACAATTCATAGTTTATTGGTCCTTACTTTTGTCTGCCCTATTTGAATGTAAGATTTCTGAGTGTTAAACTATGAATACCAGTAGAACCTAGCACTCGTTGCTTAATGAATATTTATATTTAGCGAATGGAATTCTATATGAAAGGGTGATAAACAGGATGGAAAATAAATATTTCTCAACTCTGGAATTCGGCCCTAGAACTCTGAGGAGTTAGAAGGGAATAACATTCAAAAGGAAAACAGAAAGGATTCCTGTCCTTGGTCAATTTTCCACAATATTTATAGACAGTCAACACAAATATGTTACTCGAATGCTGTTCTAAGAGTTCTGTTAAGTCTTGTGTCTAGATGTCCCCGAAAGCCTCATGCTTTTTCAGAGGTGCCCTGATCCAGAGTGTGAAATTGATTCATGGTGGGGTAGGCCCAGGGCACTAGGATAAGGGCTGAGTACTTCCCATCCTAAGCAGTCTGAATAAGATAAAAGGGGGAGAAAGACTGTTAAGGCCCCTTGCTGCTTTTGCTAACCTGTGAGCACCACAAACTGTTTCTCCTCTGCCACACCACCCTGCCTTGGAGCCAGCCCAGGACTGAAACCTCTGTCAACAGCAAGCCAAATAAACTTTTCCTCTTTAACTGTGGGTGTTCAGTATTTTGTCTCAGTAATGAGAGAAAAGTAACTAAGACAAGTTCCATCATGTCTTCTGTCCTGAAGTAGAGCACAGATGTTAAATGAAGCAAGTTCTCTGCTCTCATAGAACTGTAGGGCAGAATGGTGAGTCATTCATAAGGTAAGTGCTTAAAGGTTTAAAAATCTAAACAATGATATGAAAATAATAGTAAGAGGTTATGTCTTGAGGTCTCTTAGAAGTGTAACATTACTCGAAGGATAGGAATCAGTCAATCAAACAGGAAGAAACCTTCTAAACAGCAGAAATAGCTTGTTTGCCGGCACATCAGTACACCTGATCTCCCCAGACATCAGGGACCAGGATAGTAAGTTTCAATAAACATTTACAAAATACTGTAAGTCAAGTTGTGCTCAGATTAGAGAAGGAGAAGATCTATACATACTAACATAAGATACTCTACTGGGAATCACCTTTC